GTCAACGACGCTTACAATAAACACTTTGTATTTCCTTTCGTCTCTTATTTTTTGTGTTTGTGCCTCACCGCGTCACTTTCGCACATACATTCCAGTACAATGAATGATTGTTACACACAAAGACCTGTACCTACCCTTAAAGTTTGTACCATGAGCGGGGGTGCCCCCTGTATAAAATAAAGAATGTAATGACGAGGTTATATATTTGTTTCCCGGTTATCATTGAAGACATTACTATGATAAAAACTCTAATTTTACTCAATTCAGGCAATCCAATTGTGTGCCTCTTATAGGAGTATATAACGCGAATCTAGTTTTATCTTTTTATTAAATTTTAACCATTTGCACTTAAAAACCATGAAATATCGAAATATTTCTCTTTAAAGTATGAGAATTGAATTTTGTTACAAAAAAAATCACTTTATCAGTACAATGGGATTTATGAAGAATTTCGTCGTATTAAATCACAATTATTTCAAGATTTCAACAGACTGGAGGATGGTTTGAAATTCAACAGCTTCAGTTATTTCACGCAACTACTTTTAGTCCAAGGATCCTTCGACTATTTATTTCTTTATCGATTGTGTAACTTTAATTTAATTTTTTTGTTTTTTGCTTTTTCCAACTTGACTTTTATTCTATGTAGAACAACTAATTTAAACTAATGCTACTACCGTATTGACTCGAATCTAAGCCCCGCTATTTTTCAAGTGTTAATGCTACTGAAAATCGGGTGCGGGCTAGAATCAAAGGCAAAATATTTATTGGACGAGGAAAATTGAATCCCAAACCTTTTTAAAAGAAAAAATGTAACCACCCATTCTGGCCACATGTATCGATGACTTATCCCATTATCTCCAATAATCCAGTTGATCCTAAATATCGCTGTCTGCTAATATTTAGAAAAATTTTGTGTATGTGCTTTCTTTTAAGGGAACTTGGCACCTTTGGAAAAATTATTTTTATTCATGTATTTAAAAATTATATTTTAGCATTTCATATAATATTTCTATTCAAGAAAATGACATGAGATGAAATTCACATTATTCACACACATTCAAAAGTTTAAATTTATTAAAGAAAATTCGGAAAGTTTTAAAATTGTACTCCTTCCGTAATTATTATTTTTTTTACCTAAAATCGTTTTGTAGTATTCTTAAAGATGTTTTAAGAAACTTTAGGGGTCTACTAGCCGCCTGCGTGCTGCACAAGTTGTTCTGCACGCGCTGCACACCTAGTAGGATCAGCTCCTACATAACACAATGGTCATACACACTAAAATGTTCTAAGATAATATTTCCAATAAACTGAATTCAATCTTTTATTTTTTAACCAAGTCAACTTTAAAGAAACAAAAAAAGATTGACAGAAAAAAAATTCAATAACATACCAATTAGCTTTCAAAAATATTTATCATAAATTATTGCAATATTTTTACTAACATATAAATTGTATAAATAAAAAAGGCATACATAAAAAAAGGCTTTTAATAGCATGGCCAATTCCTTTTTGTTATTAATCGTATTTAACTAAATTGGAACGTGTTTTCACCACGATATTGAGTGAAACTGATTTATCCATCTCATCAGGAAGTGTTTCATCAGAGGGGAAAAAAAGTCAGCCTTTTTCAGCATTAAATGATGAAAGTATTCCTTCCGTGTCGAAATGAAATTACTTTCAATAGCCGCGAGGTATTTAATGAACATCTTTGTTTGCCATTCATTCTTATGGATTAAATGATATCATCCGGTTGATTTCTTTAAGTCTTTTTGAGTGTTTTCTTTCTTTGATTTTCCTTGTTTTAATCCCTTTGGTACCCCCTTCCCAGAACCTGCTATCGTATTTTTATTGAAATGTTCGAGTACTTTGTGATTTTCGGTGATGCAAAGAAACAAAAAGGGCTTTAAAATGGAAACCCTCAAATTACTTCTTTCACATTCATTAAAACCTTTTTTTTCTTTATTATATGCACGTGTATATGTTACCGTTAAAGTGTATAATTAAGTTATTTCATAGAATAACGATATTTTATGAAATGACTAGGTAAATCAGTTAAAACATATAATAGATGAAAATACCTAGTTGTTCTACAAAATAACTAGTTATTCTATAAAATAACTAGTTATTCTATGCAACAAGTAATGATAGACCATTAAAGTGAAAAATAAACAGCTTCACAAAGTTATTTTATAAATTAATTGATCGTAAATAGCTTAAGTCTCTCAAAAATACATTTTCTCCCTATTGCGGATGATAAATTGATAAATGATTATAAAAGCAGATGATGTAATCTATTATTGCTCATATTGCTAAAATTACTTAAACATAAAGGGGGAAAAAAGAACACCTTGCAGAAAAAGTTATATTAAAATATTATCAAATTATTGCAATCAATTATTGCTTCGTAAAAACATTGTGTAAACTTTTTCAAATAAAGCTGTGAGAGAATATTAATTTAAATTTCATGAAATACCTTTATTTTACTTTTCATGATTTATTAGAGCAAGGATTGCTGTGTTGACACTTTGAATTACATTGCATATTATTTTATTTTGGAAAAATGCACACTTTTTACTATTTTACATTTTTTTTACACGAGCATATTTTAAATCCTTTTCTGGTGATGCAACTTTGAGCTTTTGCTACAGATCGAAGCGATGTGTCAATATTCGGAACTTTGTCTATAGAAATTAATTCTCGCTCACATATACTGAACTGAGATCTAGAATACAATTGTTTTTATTGTACAATTATTATTTAAGCAGTTCAAAACTGAATAAAAGCATCTAGAACTGATTCAAAGTAATTTTGAGTGCCAAACTTTCGTCGCTGCACACGCGTGTGACTGATTTAAATTCCGTTAACCAAAGTACTCACTGCATCTTTTACTGTGGTGTCCACAGTCTTGCTAATGAAGTCAGTGTAAAAAGTTTATCGTCTGCGATTACCGAATAATAAGCGCACGTGCGTCCGATCGGACTAGACCCAAAAACTCTCGGAGGGTTTTTAAATCCACTGGTAAACATTTTATTGTGTTCTGATGGGTAGTTCCATAATAATAAGCCATTATTTTTGGATATCTTAATCCCGGACACCCTGCATTATTATTAACCTTCTAGCTGGTGATTTTAGTTTTTATATCTTCATTTTTTTTACCCGAGTTGAGAGATTCATGCGTTATGTTATGTCCAAAGTTATGTTTTTCATCATAACTATGAAAGATAGGTTATAAATGCTTTTATATCTACACTAAAAATTCAGTTTTAATGATATTTATAAATACAAAGTATCTAATTTATATTCACGTGTGTATGATTTATATCGATCAATACGTAGCTTTGTGTATTCCAATATTTAGCCAATCATTTTTGCAATTCCTGTTTTCTAAGAAAATCTTTTTTTACCTCCTGTATTTTTGCAAATGCTTTAATGCTGGGAAGGCCTTTTACACTTTCAATTTTGTTTTCATCTTTAAACTTTACATATTCTGTTTTAAGCCATTTTGGTGCTTTTCGTCTTTAACCCTTTATCTACCGACGGTTCTTATACCACTCACTTTAAAATTACATAGAATAACCATTTTTGCGAATACTCTGACGATACTTAGCAGGAATATTCTTTTAAATCCACTCTGTTAAGATATATGACAGCACGGGTTCTACGATGAAAATTTTAGCGGGGAAGCCGAATAGTTTTATAGCAGAAATTGCGTTTTTTCAGCGGATTACGAAGATTGTCATTTTTATTCCGAAAAGGTAGTTAATGTCAAAAGGTAAGTGTCTTATTTTTTGTATGCTAATGAAGACCTTAGAAAATGATCTGACTATTTATTTTAAGTAAACAGTGTGTATAATTAATTTTACAGTTGAATATCTTTAATTAATGAACTCTAACGAATTAAATTTCCCAAAGTTGAGTGTTTTGTTTATGTATATCCCTTAACTTTCAATGTAGTGACTCAAAAAGAAATATTTTATGAAAAAAACTGCAGAGTAAATCATAATTCGGTAGATAAAGGGTTAAATGATTTTTCTGAATTATCATCAGAGGATTGAGAGCATTGTTGAAAATTGCTGCTGATAGAGTTACCTTCAATATTCTCACCACTTTTCGATTATTAGATTTCCTTGTTTAATAAATTAACACTTTAATTTCCGGTTCATTTAACTACCGGAAAAGCAAGAAAAGTAGAAAAGAAAACTGCGCATCGCGGATTTAGAGCTATCTTCACCGAAACAACAGGTCTTAAGGAAATGAACGGTCCTCTGTGACAGATGTCGCTTTCTTCTCCACAACTTCATTTATCAACATCACTCGCAAAGATCGATTCATTCTATGTGCGGCGCAACTATTTGAGAAGAGCGCAGCGAGCGAACTCCATGAGATCTATTGCGATTCATAGAATTGCTTGAAATTCATGAAGACTCATTTTATATTTTAATTTTTAAAATAATAAATGCGGAATTATATAATCAATGTTTTTTTCCCTAAATTTTCACAAATTATTCAAATATTTTATATATCAGTACTCTCTCCCTCTCTTTTTAGGATTACATTCTTTTCTTTAAAATTTGATCTTATCTCTGTTTTTCGACATTTTTTGTGATGGGCTACAAAGTAATACATGTTTTAGTATTTTTTTGAATGTATAATTAAACTAATAATGATCTTTTAAGTAATGCATTTCCTTATTTTACTCAAACAAGTAATATAAAAAAAATTAGTCAATTCCTACTTAGGTCAACAAAGAAAAATTTTATTTTAGTTACTTTTTATTAAATAATTACCATTAAAATATAAATATTTATATACATATGGCAGAATTAAACCATTAAGTGAAAAAATAGAAAGCGATTTTCCTTGTAATTTTCCATTTTCCTTTCTATATAGGGTGTTGTACTATTACCTTTCTTTTTCTGTTAATTTTTGTTCATTCATTAAACTTAATTATTCCAATTAAATAGTATAGAAAAAAGAAACCACATTTTCAGAAATTAGGTCATCCCAGGTGGGATTCGCATCCACAACCTTTGGATTAGAAGTTCAACGTGCTATCCATTGCACTAGATTGACACAACGAGCGGTTTTCCTCTTCATATGTGGTGTTGGGCTATTATTTTTGTTTGTTACTATTTATTCATTAATTAAATGTAATGAATTAATTAATATTCCGAAAAACTGTGTATTAACAGCAAGTGTCCTCCACTACAAGTTAAAAAAAATGTGTTTGAACTTAAGAGAATAAATAAAAAGTATTTCATTAACGATTGTAAGTTTGAATGAGATATATAAATATATAACGGGAGAGTATTAACTAATAGTAGGAGAACTGAGAAAAATGAATATTAATGCTTTGAAATTTTGAAGTATTTTATTAACTATTGCATATTTCAACAAGATATATAGGGAGAGTGCGAACTAATAGTAGTAATTTAAAAATGGGTAGCCATTTACTTACAAATGTATTAAGAAGTCCATTTTTTTTTAAGAGTATCAGTTTCAATATCGGGAAACAAAACATCTTGGTTGTGTACTCTTTGCCAACGCTTTTTTTGTATAGTAGTGAGTTCGATTCCTGATGCTATTAAAATTTTTCCGATAGAGTAAACTTGGCAAATATGGGCATATTTAATCAAATACCAATGTTACACGTAATGGTTTTAAGTAAGTGCATTCGCACTTCGGCGGTGGTAATGTTCAAGCATCATGGCCACCGTGTGATTTGTTTGTGATGCTGCGGGGTTCAAACAGAAGTGCAAATGGACCATTTCTTGTATACTTCAAATTGGGGTTGTTATAACATTTTAGTTATCTTACTTAAGATTTAATAAGCCAAATTAATTTATTTCACTTGAAACCTATAAATGGCTGCAAACTTATGTGAGTGTAATATCCATTAACGGCAGCTCGTTCTTTATTCTTTCGACAGTAGTAATGACAACTGCCGAATAATGTCACGGGGCTGCGGTAGCCCAGTGGTTAAGATATTGGATCGTGGAAGGCATGCCATGAGTTTGAGCCCAGTACCACTAAAGACCCACCGAGTAGGGGAGCGATGCACATTAAATATGTCGAGAGCTCAAACGTATATACAGGGAACATATTCCTAAAGTAATAGGGTATTGAAATGTATTACTAGACTAGAATTAACATGCCTTTTACCTTCAAATAACAGAAAACATACCATTATTAGAAAGCTATACAATATGTTTGCTTTCTATTATTCAAACTATTTAAGACTATTTTGAGATGTAAAGCATATATAAAATTCAATTTGAAAGCTTTAATGTTATTTCTCTTGCTCATTCGGTAAAAGAGACACAAGTTGAAGAGTTCTCTTTCTAAACTTAATTGCGGTTAAAAGGTCCAAAGTTTGTCCCCATTCATTCTTCAAATAATTCTTTTGAAATTTTGATTTATATAAAATCCTTACCCAAGTAATAAATAAAAGTGCAACACAGAATTTCTCACGCTGGCCTGATTTAAATTTCATTACCACGATATTCTCCCCCTAAAAATGTGAACAGAACACTAAGTTCTCTAAAAAGTGATTGTTAAATCTAGCAATATAATGAATAATATATTAATTATCGTAACATCTGATGGATAACGCGCACCTATACTTCCGAGCAGCAAATTTTAGTTTTTAGATATATTCACCGTATAACGCGCACCTCCTTTTTTTACAAAGAAACCTGAAATGTACATATGCAATACTTTTATGTTTTGAAGTCATTTATTCGAGGTATTATACCAAGCTTTAGAAGAAAGTAGTATACCTCTTGAACTACAACCCTTTAAGGTATCCGACTATACGTTCGGAACCGTGATTTTAAAAAAGCGCATAAATGGATAATGTTCATGATATTTAATGTCACTTAGATTAGAATACATGTATGAAATTGTTTTAAGGACATTTTTAGAAAAAAAATTATTTAAATACAATATTTCAGCAAAAAATGAACTTAGAATAACCTCTTATCAAAATGTTCTCCTTCTGTGAAAAATGCTTCTATTATATATAATAATATTTTGCCTGTATATAGCTCAGACCTCTGTATAGAGGCTCATCTGTGATTTTTAAAAAAATTCACATTATTTTTAGAGTTACAACCCATTGAAATAATTATCGGCGTTTTTTTCTTAAAAATTCTCCCCTCTGTTGTCGTAAAACATGGATAAACCCACTTCTAAGTTATATACTTTAAAAATTCTAGTTGAGCCTCTGTACAGAGGTCTGAGCTATATATAGGCAAAATATTAATATAATAGAAGCATTTTTTCACAAAATTAGAATGTTTTGAAAATGGGTCATTCTATGCTCATTTTTTGTCAAAATATTATACTTAAATAATTTTTTATTGTAATACTATTCTTAAAACAATTTTACATACATTTTCTAATCTAAGTGACACTAAATATCATAAATATTATCCGTTTATACGCTTTTGCAAAATCACGGTTCCGAACGTAGTCGGATACTTTAAGTTCGTAAGAAATGTCATGTCTGTTAAATAAACAGTACTTTGATCTATGTAGAATTCTAATTTTTTTCTATGCTTATCTTTTTTTTATTTTTAAAGCTCTAATTTTCATATCCGGGGTGCAGAACGCGCACCTGTAAATTTCGCTCTTATTTTTTCTGTTAAAAGTGCGCGTTATACGCCGAATTTTACGATATATATAACTATCAGTTTAACTTCCGCAAGTCAGCAATTTGAATCCTTTTCATAGGAAGAAGTATTGACTTAGGCTATATGAATCTGGTTATTGTAATAAATACTCGTTTCTCATGTTGCTTTTTGATATATATTATATTTAATTTTAAAGTTCTCACTATGAATCTCGAATTAAAATCGGTTTTAATATGACTAAATTTCCTAAATCATAGACACGTCCTAGTATATTATCCGAAAGTAAAACTAGAATGAATGACTTCAAACTATCCGAACTAATATTAAAAAATGAAAAGACTAAAATAGAATGTCATTCACCTGACAAAACAGTTAATAACATTTTTTCGAGAGAACATTCCTGATATATTAAATGCTACATCTGGGATTTAGAGAACATTTTTCACAATATAATAAAAAAACATTAACTATAGCAAGAATGATATCACTTGCTTTTATTCGCTTGAATGAGTAAAAATACACCTGCAAATATAATTAACGTGTTGATTTCGAATGATACTGCATATTTGTGATATTGTTGCTTGATTTTATGTTTGATACTTTTATATACTTCATTCGCGTAATTGAAGCTTGAATTCAAAAAAATCAAAATATGTCAGAACCCTGACGTATAACTACGTAGTTGTTTATATCTATCTAATTATTTCATAAGCTTTTTTTGCAATTTAAGAATTATTGGAAAAATAAACTCGAATTGAGCTAATAGAAAATAAATATTTTAACAGAAGTTATTTGAATTGATATTTTATTAACGGTGACGGTGAGGGTTCTCGTAAGAGAGAGAGAGTTTGAGCTTGGGATAAGTGACAAGGCCAAAATCTGAGTCGCATCTTACTCTTCAAATATCCACACCCCTCAAAAATTCACAAAATTAAACCCAAGAAAAGTCGTAATTAAATCTTCCCGAGCTATCAATTGCATCCAGATACTGATTTATCGTATACCAAGTGAATCAAAGTTAGTTGCTTTGAGAAGAGGTTCAATTATATACCTTGCTTATAACAGGAACATCATTGCTAATTGTACGTAATATGATCCATAAGTTCGAGGACAAGGGGTAGAAAACCTTACGCTGAATATCTCACAGCACCGAGGCACATCCATCTTCAGACTAATCCCCTTGGGCTGTGCTGCCAGCATTCGTATAACTCCTGAAAGCTCAGCCGGAAGATATTTTGGGCAATCTTCTGGGAGACCTCCTGCAATGCTACTTTCACTTCATCTGAAGACACGAAACGGCGTCCCTGTAAATGGTTTTTCATCGATGGGAATAAAAATCACACGGGGTTAAATCTAGTGATTAGGGGATATATGGAATCAGTTATTGCGAGTTTTAGTGAGGAACTCTTTTACCAACTGGGATCAATGTGTTTGTGCGTTGTCATGCAGAAGATACCAGTTGTCACTTTGCCAGAACTGAGACCATTTACGACGAATGGGTTCCCTCAAACAACGTTTTCGAGAAATGTGTAGCATCAGCGATTTGTTCAAGTGTTTAGCGACGGTCTTTTCAACACATTCAGACACTAACGCAACATTTTCCGCGTTCCATGCAGTCGAAGGTCGTACAACGCGTTTATTGTCTTTTATGGATTCTCGGCTCTCTTTAAAAGGTCGATGCCATTCATAAAATTTGGATCTCACCCTGTGAGATTCACCATACACCTTACTTAGTATTTCCAAAGTCTCCATTGGTGTTTTACCTCAGCGTTGACAGAATTTAATGCCCAATGTTATTCAAGCAAATGCCACCTTTCTTGCGTTGTGGTGCAAAGCTAACTAACTCGGGAAGATAACAGCTGTGTATGCCGTTTTGTCACATGACTAGACTAAACCAGCCCGGCCAGGTAAGGCAGGGTTGGGAGAACCCATTTCAAATGGTCTAACTTTAGGTACTAGCTTTCGTTGTCATCCATGGCCGCTGTCCCCGAAATTTTCAATCATACTACGTATCAATCTAAATCTTATGACCATCTCTAAGTAGTCACAAAACTAGAGAATATTCTTGCATTTAACTTACTGAAATATTTGTATTAAAAACTTAATGAAATTTTAACTATAAGAAGTAGAACCACTAGAATAGAATAAAATCATATAAACACGCAAAAATAGGAAAAAGTCTCTCAATATATTATTTCGCATGCAATCAAAAACTTCACCAGAAACTAAAGTGCATAACACTTTGTTCCGTATGTTGTTCCATTTGTTTCTAAATCAGGATGTATATTGAAACCTAAGAAAATAAAAATAATAAAAGTTTTTTAAAACACTATATTTATTTAAAAATTGTAATACTGAGTCGAAATAGCAATAACTAATTAAAATATAGAACGTTTTAAAAAAATATTTAACAACGCTATTTCATATTATTTTTG